CACTAACAAGGGTGGGCAGAGTAGCTGATACGAAGATCGACACCTCTTCCACAATACTCTGCCATCCTGATAAGCAATTGATCTTGCAACTTGCAATACTACCCCTAACCCACTACCTCCACCTACCTTGCAGACATTTACGCAGCACACACTGCCTTCGGTCATTGACAGAGGAACGGGGACACATCGTAGCCCCATGCCATATCTTACCAATTGCAGCCACCTCGTGCTATCCTATCTGCTTCAAGTTATAAAGTGAGCAAACACAACAACACAACAATGAACAGGCAGGAGAGCAGAGATAGACGACGACCGCCAATGCCAACTTGACTAATGAGACAGCCGGCACCCCCAACCCATCGGTGTGTTGTTTCATTAACCATCAAATCACCCTCGCCTGCGTATCCAGTAGCAAAACAGACCTCCAGGAATGCTGTGACCTTAAGCACTCCCCCACATTTCCACACTAAGCACCTATCAAACAAGCCGCAATCCTCATTTCCCCATTCACGCAACCACACCCATCACCCAGTTCTCGATAGTTAGCCAAACATTGAGATTATTCATATTAAGCATTTATGCAATACGAAGCGTATCTACAAAAATACACCCAGTGCTGCAGCACCTCTAAATGTGTACAAAAACGGGCGAGAAACAAAAATAGACGAGTCGGTGAATGCCACTGAACCGAGCAACGATGGAAGTAAGAGGAGAGTTCACAGCCAACTGTTGCCAATACGAGGAAGCTGAGACAAACCAGATCCTCTACGACCCAACAGTCTCCTGAAAGGCACCCCAACAAAACACGCATATCAAATGGAGACTGCAGACGGGGCCTGCGTACTGGCAGCATCTCACTCACATGAAGCACTGGGTGCGGAACCGCATCCGAAGCCACCACCTCCACTGGCTTGGCAGTACTGCTTGCGTCCGTCGAGATCGGTGGCGGTGGTGTGGAGGGTGGTGTTGACGTCGGTGTAATTGCGATTGACTGCAGACGATGAGTGGGATTTGAAGGCGTAGTGATGGAGGCGCCAATAACGATGGCTCGACCACCTAATTGCCAAGTTCCACGGCTCTGATGAGCTGGTGGGTGATTGAACCTAGTCGCAGTCACTGGCAAAGAGGAGCCACACAGCGCGCTTGTGTGTCCTCTCAAGGAAGACGATGGAGGTGGTGCCAGTGTCGAAGGAGGAGCGGACAGAAGAGGCACAGCAGAAGGCGCTAGAGGCTGGTAAGAGGCGTGGGTATTCGGAAGAGAGCTAACGCCACCACCACCACCACCACCATTACCACCACCGGATTCAAGGAGACTCTTAAGCAACTGTGACGAAGTGGTGGGACGACCAACACTGTTACCACTGTTGTTGTTGCTGGTAGTGGTGGTGGTGGTGATGGTGCCGGTATCGGTGGCAATAAAGGGTGCAGTTTGGCTTTTTGGAGAAATCTTGCGAAACGTGTGATACTTGTGCACCA